ATCTGGCTTGGTCGTGGGCTGCTAGAGACAAGTTTTTGAGGGGTCCTGGATACCTGGAGTCCACAGGACAAGCCTCAAGTCCTCTTCACTGCAGGCCTGTCTGCCCTATCTCTACTTCTCCCAGCTCCAGCCTACAGAGTAGCCCTTGCACCCACAGCAGAGCCCGGCAATGAGAACCTGACCCCTGCTCCCATCCACCACATGCCTACCAGAGACTACGGAGAGGCCTTCTTCTAAATGTTCTGTGGAACTTATGTCCGATGCAACAGGGCCTAACATGGCTCCATGAGCTGGGCCAGATCCCTCACTCAACACAAACATCACAAAGTTATCAGAAGCCATAGCCTCTTGGAAGCCCAGTGGCCTGCAGCTCCGGCAAGATCTCTCTGACCTCTGACATGTCTACCACCTCCCTCACCTCCACCTCCCTCTTCCTTCTGCTCCTCTGTCCCCACCACTCTCTGACCTGGTACACACCCTACTGTGGCCTCAGGAGGCTTGGCTCTGGTCTAAGGCTAAGGTGCCACACATATGGGACAGTATGCCAGATAGGTTATGCCATGAAGCTGCATTCTGAAGTGAAAGTCACAAACCAACTTCTTGGCTGGACCACAGCTCAGAGGGTCTGGAATGGGCAGACTACTGAGGCCACTGCCAGCCCTTCCTTCATGCAGGTCAAGGGGAAAGGTAGCCTGGGAGGCCCTAAAGACAGACAGAGAGGGCCAAATCTACGTTTCAGTCTATGTAGAACAGCTATCCAAGATGGAGGCATTTCAGAGACATTTAAAGGGGTCAAAAGCAAAAATCTCAGGAATGTGGCGCTTCATCTGGGCAGTGAGAGGTGACTGGGGACAGACCAGTTACACACTGGAAACTAGGACAACAGAAAGACTCATCTTGCTTAGGAAAAAGGCTATTATTATCCAGCAGCCAGCTGGAGACTCTCAGCAGGCAGGTAAGTGCAGTACTATGTTACGGTGGCCCTTGAGGACAAGGTTTCTCCCCAGCTTGGCATGGAGTCCTGAGGTACTTGCAGCCCAGAGCCCAAGAACACAGACATGGCTTTTAACAGGGAGGAACTACAGGCACTTGAACCAATGGCCAGGACCCCAAGTTAGCGCTCACGGAACACAGGGTAGGACAGCTGATGAAGGCTCTTGTCCTAGCATAGGAACACCGGGAAATTACACAAAGGAGGACAGAGTGTGAGAGGTGAGGCCTAGAGGAGAGTAAGGGACAAACCAACCTTGGACCAGAGGGAATGGAATATGGGTCCCACATACACATACATGTCAGATGATCCAAAGCAGAGATCAGGAGTCTGACTCTAGCTGTCACATGGGTACAGAAACAAAGCCGGCCCACACCCAGCATGGAGAGCTGGCCCCAGCCCAACTTGGCTGCCATGGGCCTGGGGACCACCATAGAAGTCCCCACCATATATATACATCCCACGAGTGAGACAAACTGTGGAAAAGACAGTCCCTGGGTCTCGGAAAAGGGCTCCACACTGGCCATGTGGGTGTACACCTGCAACGGGAGACTTGTGAGTTTCAGGCCTGCCTAGGCTATAGAGCAAGACCTTGTCTCAAAAACAAAACCAGTCAGACAAGTCCCAAGATGTCAACTGTGTGGAGAGCTGCAGCATACAAGCTCACTGGGGTCTAAAGAAAAACTGAAAAGACTCAGGGAAGGAGCCGGGAGCAGAGGCTGAGATCTGTTCTAAGGAGAGCACAATTGGAGTTCTCAGCCCAGAGTCCTCTCACTGAGGCAGGATGAGGCCTCTACTTCTGGTTCCCAGTGACCATGATGGTGTTTCTCAGTAAACCTTCCCAGTGTAGCAGAGATGACCTCAGCAGCTTTACCCCAGGACCTCACCAGTCACATAACCTGCAGGATCCCATTCTAGGAGAGACTCAGCATCCTCTGTGGCAGAGACCAGAAGCTGCAGCTTACAGCCATGCACACATCTGGCCACTGACCAAACCGGGTCCACTTGGCTACAGCACAGACGGGGAGACCAAGGCTCATGGGGTAGCAGATTGGAGCAGGATCTGTAGCAGGCAGCCAGATACTGTGCAGGCTCTGGCCAGACTGTCTCCTTTGGTCCCCACCACCCAAGCAGTGCTGCGTTAGCTGTGGTGACAAAGTCACAGAGCTGGTCAGTGAGGTACCCTCCAAGGCACACACTTCCACATGGCTGAAGCCCACATAGACGCTGCAGACGGTATGGGTTGAGAAAGGTGAAGAGGGTGTTGGGACACAGGCATCTGGCAGTGCTGGGGAGCTGGGAGAGGAAGACAGACTTAGCAGGCAGCATTTCAGCAAGCTGGGCTGGCCACCATCAGGCTGCTTAGGGCAAAGTCCCAAGAGGATGCAGCAGTTTGTGCCACGAAAGAACCAAACTAGACACCTGTCTCTCCCCTCCCCCTGTCACCGGAGAAACGATGCATATTCATGAACTCATAATCCGTTCTAATCACCCTTCCATCCTGCGCAAACACACAGATTCCCTCCCTCCTGGGGCTCAGACTCATACATAATTATAAAAAGCCTCTTCAGGTACCACCTTGGTCTACAAAAGACAACGGAGGACAAAGTGCCTACAGAGAACCTGTGGTTGGGAGGTCACTGCGGCTCAGGGGCAAGGTTGAGGGCTGTTTGCTGGCTCAGACCCAATCACTCCAGCCCAGACCTCCCAGGACACAGCCTGGCCTGGCCACAGCTGGCAGGCAGTGCTCTCTGGGGGCATGGGTGACAAGGAGACAGACCTATTACCCTCCTGCCCAGATGGACCTGTTTCCTGAGTAGGAATTATGGGGCTCAACCCAGACTTTAAGTAAGTAGTGGGTAAAAGACTAGGCCAATGGAGACAGGGAGTTCCGGAGAACTGGGCCGGGGCAGGACTATGGGTTGGGGGTGGGGTGTTGGGGTTGATTTAAAAAAAAAAAAAAAAGACTGATCTCAGAGAAACTAGCCAATGCAAAGGCCATTCCTAGGGACAGCCTGGGCTAAATAAATAGAAAATGAAAGACAAAGCTGGTCACATGAACAATATAAACTTGCTCTGCCACCAAGCCTGCCAACATCAGTTCAATTCCCAGGATCTACACAGTGGAAGGAGAGAACAGAACCAGCCCCCAAAGGTTGTCCTCCTCTACACACACCGTGACATGTACGCTCACCCCCACATACACACATAATGAATCAGCCAATGTTCAAAACACCAAAAAGCAAACAAAGGAAACAGCTACTCTTGCCACACAGTGGCCAGGGCCCCTGGGCTCTTCCGAGAGTGAGCCCAACAAGGAAGGGTGTCTTCCTTAAAGTAAAAGAGGAAGTGGTTTTTCACAAATTATTTCACTACGGAGTTCCTTCAAACAGTTGATCCAACCTATCCTCAGCATCCTCCCGTAATTCACGTCTCGTGTGGCCAGCCTGGGAAAGATCAGCTGGTGAAGGGAGGAGTGGGTGAAGGGCAGACTCACTTGCTAATGCCCTCGAAGGAGGCCTCTCTGCAGACACTGCCGCTGTCTGTGTTGACACCACGCTGTGGAGAGAAGAGGTGTGAGAACAGGTGTGTCGCACAAGGGCCACAAGCATCCCCGGGGCCTGCCTAGGAGAGTCTGTCTACCTCTTCCAGACAGACTCAAATGGAACCACAGCCCAGTATGCCCTTCCCCCAGGTAGCTCTAAGCTGGGCCCCAGAATATAGATTTTTTTTCCCCTAGTGCAATGTGAAAAGCAGAGAGATCCAGTTATCGTGGCACATGCTTGTAACTCTAGCACTGGGGAGACTGAGGAAGGGGAAATCAGTTCAAGACCAGCCTGGATGGGTCAGAGCATCCCAGGCACACAGCGGGGGGTGGGGGTGGGGGTGGGTGGGTCTGGATGGGTTGGCATTCTCTGCTCACACTGCTCATTCAGGTCCAGGCAGGGGCTGGGCAAGAAAATCAAGAACCCGAGACACCTTCCCCACTAACGCATACACAGACACACTCTCCCCACCCCCATCTGCTCTCTCCAGACTCCTTATCTTTCATCATACATAGACACTGTCACTAGTGTGAGGTCCACAGGAGTGCAGCCTACCCTCCATGCTACAGTTCTGTAACCACAGAACCAACAATCACAGAACAAAATATTTGAAAAAAAGAAAACAACAAAATCCCAAAACTAAGAAACAATTAATGGCTGCAGATTTTTTTTTCTTATCATCATCTCCTAAACAAGACAGTGTATCACTATACACAGGGAAGTAGTATCGTGTCAACTTGACCCAAGTTAGAGTCCTCTGAGAGGAGGGGACTATGGTTGAGAAAATGCTCCCACCAGGCTAACCTGTAGGCAAACCTGTAGGGCATTTTCTTGATTATGATTGATGTGGAAAGGCCCAGCCCATTGTGAGTGAGGCCATCCCTGAGCAGGGGTTTCTTATATGGCATAAGAAAGCAGGCTGAGCAGTCCACGGGAAGCAAACCAGTAAGCAACACCCCTTCACAGCCTCTGCGTCAGCTCCAGGTCCTTGTCTTCCTTGAGTTCCTGCTCTGACTTCTCTGGATGATGGACCACGAGGTATAAGATGGAATAAACCCTTTCCTCCCCAAGTAGCTTTAGGTCATGGTATTTATCACAGCAACAGAAACCTTAAGGACAGGCACTTAGCATTGTAGTGGGTGTTACAGGTAACCTGCAGGTGATTTGCTGGATATGGGAGGACGTGCATGGGCTGATGTAATAAAAGGGACTCCTGGATCTGTAGTGTTCGGATACCCAGGGGTCTGGAAACCAACCCTCCACGGATACCCAGGGACATCTGTAGACTCAGCATCCATCCGTCTCCAATGGGAACTCAGTCATACACTGAGACTAAACAAGAGGTTCAGAGAAAAGAGAGCCACCTCAGAGAGGGAAGACGCTCTTGGCAGCCACGGCTCTCTCAAGAACCACAGGCTGATCCCTGTTCAACTTTGATCCAAGATGAAAACACACTGGGCCATCCTGCCCCTAGAGGCACTACCAGTGTGGCTGCTGTGTCGCATAAGTGTCAGTAGGTGGCAGAGAGGAGAGAGGCTGTGTCTACATTCTGTGATCTGACCTATGAACATCTGAATGATTCATAGCCTAACATTCCTGAAAAAAAGTGAACCTGAGATGACCACCAGTCCAGCACCATGGGGCCCGGATAGGGGGCTAGCCTGAGGTGACTACCAGTTCAGTGCAGCACAGACCTGAGATGACCTCTGCCCTGAGCCATAATGCACCAGTGGGCATAGCACTTCTGAGACAACCCCAGACACTCAGGAACTCCAGGTGGTGGAGAGATGGAAGAGGAAGAGAAACAAAGGGATGTTGGCACAATGAAGAGAGGCAGAACTGGAGACTCGGGGGAAGTAAGGAACAGCCTGATATGAGGAGCCAGTGCTGGCGCCTGGGACCATGGTGGGGTCCTGGCCTGTGCTGCCACTGGAGCCACATCTGGATCTGTGGCCCTGCAGGAACAGGGGTCTGTTACCACCAAAGGTGGACAACCCTGGTCTGGGCTGTCCCCTAAGGGTGGTGGGCAGGTATGATGGGAGGGGAAGATGAGTGGGGTTGGGTGCATGATGTGAAATTCACAAAGAACCAATAAGTTTAAAAAAAAAAATACCAGGCCAGCTCTGGCTGTGCCCACCACAGCTACTTAGCCACAGAAGCAGAACAGCAAAGAGAACATGTGGGAGGGGGGCTATCCCTATGTAAATCAGTAACAAGGGAGAGAAGGGACATTCCGGAAGGGTGAAGGGCTGTGTGTGTGTGTGTGTGTGAGAGAGAGAGAGAGAGAGAGAGACAGAGAAAGAGAGAGAGAGAGAGAGAGAGAGAGAGAGAGAGAGAGAGAGAGAGAGAGCACACATGTACATGTATTCAGGCACATATGCCCTTAGGGCAAGGCAGAAGAATGTACAACAGCCCAGCCCTGCCTCACCCCAGGCTGTGCACCCCCTTAAGGTGTCAAGAGCCTGATTTCCAAGTTGTATCATCATAGGGAATTCAGATGAGAATAAAAAGTGACAATCTATACCTGAAATGCCACGAGCTTAAGGTGGACGCAGTTCTACGTCCAAGTCTGGTTTCAAGCCCGAGGACTGCTGACGGTACCTTGTCCACTGCAGCCACAAGACCAGACACAGCACATCCCACAGTCAGCCGTTAGCACAAAACAGGTGTCCCTACTCACCACAGGTGACCAGTTCTCAGTTTCTCTTTTGTGTTCATTTATGTAGCTCAGGCTGGCCGTTAACTCCCATTCTCCTGCCTCAGCATCCCAAGCCTGTATACCTCTGTGCCTAGCTTCTTTTCAGTCTCTTAATCCTCACACCCGCACTGTGCAGCAATGCCAAGTACTCCATGGTTCTCGAGACCCAGCCACTTACCAAAGTGAGGAGGACAGAGGGGCTCCGTGAGGCCAGGACACTGGCGATCTGAAAATCAAAAGGGAAACCCACTTTAGAGCAGAGTTACGGTATGAATCTGAAATGTCTCAGACAGACTGGTGTACGAAGTGGCCAGGTTGTGGCACTATTTCGAAGGCTGCAAATCCTTTAGGAGGTAGGATCTGGCAGCCCCTGATCTCTGCCTCCCTCCCGATCTGCTGTGATGGAGCCCCTGGGCTTCACCACAAGCTCCTGTCATCACCAACCGCAGCCACTGTGGACTGAAGCTTTCTCTTTCTCAGGTTTCTGTCAAGTGTCAGTCACAGCATCAAGTGACTAATCTGACAGAGTAGTGGAATGGAGATGACACACCATCATGATCTGATGATTCCAGTGATCATCCAGGAAGCAGGTCCTCAAGACAGGAGACACCACTGCCACCCTGCCCTTAAGATGAGGAAACAGGGTCAGAAAGGTGAAAGGACTCCGGGAAGCCCTACAGCTGTCAAAACAGTAGAGGGTATACCCAGCACCCTCCTCACCATGTGGCCTGCCTTCAGGTACCACAAAGATCTCCAAAGAGCCAGACTTGCCCACTTCCCGAGGCCAGCACCTGTGTGCGGGATTTCCTGCTCTTCCTGAAAGATCTGGTCCTATCAGACATAAGCCCCAGTAGCCGCCCATCCTCAGAGCAGACGCCTCCCTCCCTACCCCCCACTGATCTCCTGGGCTAAACTGAAGGTAGTTAGCTTTCCCCAGCTCCACTGGCTTCCACCCTGGCCCCCTGGGCCTCCTGCCCCTACAAGCTGAATGCTTCCTCCCCAGTACCTTGTGTGAGCAGACATGGGCTCACCCGCCCACATCTCTGCTCACTCTCACCTATGGCTGGATCATCTTCCCACCATCTTGACTAGTCCATCACATCCTACTTGGGTCTGAACCCCAGCCCAGCCCTGTAAGCAGACTCAGTCACTCCCTTCTCTACTCACCCCCAGCCGGAGGCATCCATCCCCAGACAAGCACCCGGCATACACCAGCTAGGAAACCTGCACTCCAGAACGCTGACCACCTTGCTGGGAGCAACCTAGTCCTCTGCTGACTATCAAGCTCCTCACCCCACCCTAAGGTCTCCGATACCCTGAACACAGAAGAGGAAGGCGGGCTGCTCCAACAGGCTGGCTGAGCCATTGCTGAGACACTCCATGCTGCACGCACACGGTTAAGGTGGATATTTTGATAGATTTTGACATAGCGTATACACACTCTTCAATACTAAAAGGTTTCTGGAGGAAAGCTGGAGCATACTGGAAGCCATGAAAGAGTAAACGCACCTGCCATCCCATCCCCAGAGACAGTTCGGCTCTGTGCGCAGAAACAGAGAACTGTAGTGACATTTGGATCATATGAAATTACATGCTTCGCTTATTTCCTGTCATTAAATATTCTTCAAACACGTAATTTTTAGCAGTCACTACGGCTGGGGATGGTAAACGTTCAATAAGTCTTTGATTACGGCCTGTGTCAGTCATCTTACACACATCACCTCATTTAACCGCCCATAAAGGCTCTGCTACAACCATCCAGGACTCACGGGATGAAACCGCTTGTGTGAGGGTTACAGAGCCTGCCTAAATGCACAGGTAAGAAATAGCAAAGCCAGGACAGAAGGGACAACCGCACAAGGACTAAGAGCTCTGACTGCTCTTCTGGGAGACCCAAGTGGGTCTCTAAAACCCGTATCAGTTACCTTACAACAGCATATAATTCCAGTTCCCAGGGAATCAACATGCACACACACACACACTCACTCACACACACACACACACACACAGAGAGAGAGAGAGAGACAGAGACAGAGACAGAGAGACAGACAGACAGAGACAGACAGACAGAGAGAGAAGCACATACACACATACACACCTTTAAGAAGAAATAACAAAGCCTGGTTTTAATGAGTGGTTATAGAAAAGTCTGAATGGATTACACATCATTCACTTGATCCTTCCCTCTGCTAGACATGTAAATTATTTCTAATGGTGAGTTATTATAAATAATGCTGTGCAAGCATACTGGTATACATAGTTATTTATATATATATATATATATATATATATATATATATATATACACACATATATGTTTATTAAGGGTTTATTTCCTGATACAGTGTGGTGCCTCACATCTATAATTCCTGCACGTGGGAAGCTGAGGCAGGAGAATTGTGAGTTTAAGGTCAGTTTGGAACACACAGTGAGATCCTATTTCCTAAGGGGAAAAAAGTTTACTTTAAAAGAAACGTAAGTAAGCAGACATAGAATGTGCCTATTTCCCCAGAACTTGGAAGGTAGAGGTGGGAGGGTCATAAGCTCAGGGCCAGCATAGAGTCCCTGGAACCCTTCCTTAAAAGGAAGGCAAGAACAAACGGAGAGAAGGGTAATAAAAAAAGGAAAACAAAAAATTAAAAATTAAGCGGCCTAGTTGAATACAGGGTGAAAGGCCAGTATTCCATACCGACCCTGGTCTAACCAGCTAGGCTGGAGGTGCTGGCTCCCCAGGAGCAGCCTCTCTCCTTCCCTCACTCAGTAACTGGAGAATGACTGAGCCCACCCTGTGTTTCACAAATGAAGGCATGCAGAGTCTCTTCCCAGCCTGCCCGCCTGCCCCTCCTGGAGGGGAGAGAGGCTCATTAAAACCAACAGAGCGGAGTGTGTCAGGCCCTGGGTGTGTTGTTTCGTTGACATGAAGGGTCTACATTCATCAGCACACACCGATGCCGTCAATTACAGCGGCAGAATCAGAGAGCGAGGAGGCACTTGGGGATTGTATCAGCTATTGTCCTTAGGAGAGAAGAGCTGGATAACAAATGTGCGGGCTGATGGTTTTTCTCTCCACAATGACTCTCTGGACATGCTGGTTAGGAATAATGGAGGAGAAGGCCCCCTCGCTGCAAGCCTGACGCTCAGATGCATGGAGGCCGGATAGAGCCGGCCAGGCGTCAGTGAGTCCTGGCAGAGTAGCATCTTATATTGATCACAGCTGCTTGAGTGGGCCCTGGTTACCTTTCTGGCTGCAGAGCCTCTCCCAGCCCGGCAGCTCCATCTGCCTTCCCCGTGGAGACCCATTAGTGCTACACTCATCACGACTGGAGGCTGTGCCTCAAAAATTAAGGGAACACGATGCAGTTTTGTGTCACTGGCTCTGAGTGCAGCTCCAGGACTAGACGGCATGGCTTTAACAACCCCAGGCCCACTTTCCAGGAGCGCATGCCATGGCACAGGGGACCCATCTGCTCTCCCTACTGGGGCTGTCAAATGTTCCTGTCTTGCTGCAGGTCATAGCCAGCATCCATCTCCCAGGCAGCCTTGACTAGGTGGACAGGCACCAGAAGAATGATCAGAGCCCTGTGAGCCCAGATCCTGCCCTGGGGACAGTCCAGAAGCTGCCCAAGGGAACTTTACACAGGCTCCTAACCAGGACTCTGACCAAGCTAGTGAGTCACTCTTAACAAAGGAATTAGACACGCTTCAACTGTGTTGCTGAGAAAAGCCCGCGTGGCCCCCAGTGTGCAGGGCTCTGCCCTACCAGCATTGAAACCCTTGAAAACAAGCCATTATTCATGGCAGTTTCCCAAAAACGCCAGCGTACACCGGTGGCCTGAAATGCCCTTAAATTTTTGAATCTGCTTTTAAAATCAAAATAGCACCAACAATATGGCTGTC